TCTGTCTTTACTATCAGAATACACTGTAAATTTCAGGTTTCTTCCTGCTCCCTCAAACAAACATCAGACCTCAATTTATTGTAACAACTTTATTCAGAAATTTATTCCATCGTGCTTTTTGTTGCAGGAAGAGAGCCACAGTATCTGTGAATTCCTTAGCAATGATTGTTATTTGTTTTTAGATTCATAATAACTACAAGTTCAGCTGGAAGGGGCTAAAGTGTTTTGTTGGTTTGTTGGGGTTTTTTCCCAACTTGTATTTAATTCTTTTTAATGGAAATTAAACTTTTATTTAGTTTTATAGGAATTTCTAGAACATATTCCTCTTGGACGTGTCAACAATACTTATAGAAGCAACATGCAGAAAGGTAGTAACAGAACTTAAATGATGGCTATTACCGAAATAATACACATTCCATGATCAGATTACTATCTCTAATTCAACAGCATAGCAGACACTATTAAAATATATTTTCTTCTTTTTCCTTTCCAGAAGTGAACAAAACACCACTACAAAGTGCCAAATTGACAGCAGTGGAATAAATCCTATCTCTGTGGTAGACAAAGAATAACAAGCAGGCAAGATTTCTTTAAATTTTATTATCTTTGTCAGGCTTGCCTTTTTCCTCTGCTTTACAAAAATTGGCTCTTTGTCCATTGAAATTAATTATGCCATTTCCATTTACTCCAAAAACTTTTAATTCAGCTCTCAAACACAGGAGCTAATGGCATGCTAATTACTATTTCAGTGGCATGTATATATACTGAAGTATATGTTTGTCAAAATAAAAAGAAGTATGAGAACTAGAAATGTCACTGTTTGAGATTATTGGTTAAGTCCTGTTCTTGAATCTTCCCCTTACTGTTAGTAATCCTAAGTACTTCAAAGTACATAATTTTTGAATGGTGGCTCTACTAAGAAGTAGGAAGTATAATCCATTAAAAATAATTTGGTTCTTGCAATAGTGGGCGGAAGAATGATTAAGTATATGGACATCAAGAATGAAAAGTTTGTGTAAGGGCAGTTTTAGCACATCTCTGAATAGCAAAAGATTATAGGATGACAATTACCCTATTCTTTCCATTTCTCAGGGAAGGTATTGGACTATTTTAGATATAGGAGTTACTCCTGGAGAGCTATATACTAGCTAAGGGTAATTGGGAGGGAGGTAAGGAAGAACTGAAAGGAGTTCTCATTTTTTCCCAGGCTCTGAGGTAAAAAAATGCACCCTTCAATAATTTTAGAAAGTAAATTACAAGAGCAAGAATTTTTGTAATTTGAATTGAATTAAAATTCAAATTTTAACTGAATAAAGATATTAATATCTAACAAGACTAACCAATTCCAGATAACTCAGATGTAAATACTGCGCCAACAGGGCAAAAGGACTCTTGCCTGTAAGTTGTCAGGACTGATCAAGAGTGCTTTAAACTAGGTTTGAAGGGGAAGCAGTTAAAACCAGGCTTACCAGAGATGAGCCTAAGAGTGGAAAGTCTGAGTTAGAAGTGAAATCAGCAGCCCAGCTGAAGTGCATATACACCAGTCCACACAGTATGGGTAAAAAACAAGAGGAGCTGGAAGCCATCGTGCAGCAGGAAAGCTGTGATGTAGTCGCTATCACGGAAATGTGGTGGGATGAATGGCATGACTGGAGTGCTGCCATGGATGGCTACAAGCTCTTCAGAAAGGATAGGCAGGGTAGGAGAGGTGGAGGGGTGGCTCTGTATGTTAGAGAGTCTTTTGACTCTGTAGAACTTGGAAGTCAGCAACAATAAGTTTGAGTGCCTGTGGATCAGAATCAGGGGGAAGGCCAACAAGGATGACATCCTGATGGGAGTCTGTTATAGACTACCCAACCAGGGTGATGAAGGGGATGAATTATTCTACAGGCAGCTGGTAGATGTCTCAAAATCGCCAGCCCTTGTTCTTGTGGGTGACTTTAATCTGCTGAATGCCTGCTGGGAACTCAACACAGCAGAGAAGAGGCAGTCCAGGAGATTCCTAGAGTGTATGGAGGATAATTCCCTGCTTCAGCTGGTAAATGAGCCTGCCAGGGGTGGGGCCTGCTAGACCTGCTGTTCACAAACAGAGAGGGGTTAGTGGAAGGTCTGGTGGTTGGAGGCTGCCTGGGGCACAGTGACCATGAAATAATAGTTTTCAATATTCAGGGATGCAAAGAGGGCCATCAATAAACCTGCTACCCTGGTCTTCCGCAGGGCAGATTTTGGCCTACTCAGAAGAGCAATTCAGAGGGTACCTTGGGAAACAGCCCTTGAAAACAGAGGGGTCCAGGAGGGATGGTCTTGAAGTCTTGAAGGCACAGGAGCAGGCTGTCCCAGAGAGCCGATGGGGAAGACAGCCAGCCTGGCTGAACAGGGAGATTTTAAAGGAAATTAGGGGAAAAAAAGAGATCTTACTGACTATGGAAAAAATGGCTGGCTATTCATGAAGAGTTTAGGAATATAGTTAGGTCATACAGAAAGAAAATTAAAGAGACAAAGGTACAATTTGAACTTAATCTAGCCACTTCTGTTAGGGATAACAAGAAGTGCTTCTACAAATACATCAATAGCAGAAGGAGGGCAAGGAAAACCTCCATTCTTTGTTGGACATTGAGGGGGAACAGTCACCAAAGATAAGGAAAAGGCTGAGGTACTTAACACCTTCTTTGCCTGAGTTTTCAACAGTAAGACAGGTTGTCCTCAGGACAAGTGGCCTGGAGAAGTACCTGGAGCTGGTGGACAGAGACAGGAAGCTGAATAGTCACCTGTAATCCAGGAGATTAGTGATCTGCTGAGCCACTTGGATTGTCACACGTCTGTAGGACCACATGGGATTCATGCAAGGGTGCTGAGACAGCTGGCAGAAGAGCTCACCAAGCCACTCTCCATCACTTACCAACAGTTCTGGCTCACTGGGAAGGTCCTAGATAGTTGGAAGTTGGCAAATGTCACACCGATCTACAAAAAGGCCTGCAAGGAGAACCCGGGAAACTCCAGGCCTGGTTATGGAGCAGATCATCCTGAGTGCAATCACACAGCACCTACAAGATGGACAAGGGATCAGACCCAGTCAGCATGGGTCTAGGAAGGGCATGTCCTTCCAATATTTCTTTGATGCCTATGTCTGTGTACAGATACAAATTAGTTTGTATCACCTCTAACTTTTTTGTACAAATTTAACACTTCAAGAATAAAGTGTGGAATTAATTATACTGGGAAAAAGAGAGAAAAAAAAATTAATGGGAAAAAAGCTAATATGACCCTGCAATCTTAAACCTATGGGCATTACAAGCAAGTGCGGTCTCTATGAGATTTAGTAGAAGCTACATTACAATAAAAATGTATTTACCACTCTTATAGCACCAAATTTAGGTAAAATACAATTGTTTAACAAATCAAATAACAACCATATTGATAATAAGTTATTTCACTAGAATACATATTTTAACTTCATTATTTAAACTACTGCTGAACTTGATCTGGCATACAGCCTCTATCTTACTTCTTCAACATATCTTCCAAGGAAATTGTCTTTTAGATGTGATTAAATTCAATATTAAGTTAGGTGAAGGTGTCTCTTGGGGCAAAAATATAGGTTTAAATGTAAATGAGAAACATATTGAGAATGAAAAATGGGAAATGTGTATCCCAAAGATTCTGAAAACAATAAATATTAAATTTTCTTTTGATGGGGTTTCTTAAAGGATAAACCTAAACTTTGGGCTGCATTTTCTGTTACAGTACAGTAATTTGACATAAATTAACACATTCATTATATTTGGTGGTCTTGGAGGTACTTGGTTTCAAATGAAGATGATACACTGGCCTTCAAACCTGTTCATTCCCAAAAGCTGAATCTGCAAATTATTTTAGCACGTTGTATTATCTGTCTATGACATCTCCCTGGTTACAAGCGCAGTCAGTCCGTGGGGACAAGACAATCTTCAGTGCTTTGATGGGGACAGCTGGGACTGAAGGTGGTGGAATAGGGTTCCTCCAGTGCCAAAAGGCAGGCAAATTCTCCAGCCTAAAGCTCTCATCAGCCCTATATGTAAACCAACTTGCAGATATTGACTGTGTACTCTCTTCTTTAAGCATATAACTTGACCAAATGGTGGTGGGTTAGTCTGGGCTTTGTATTGCACTGCCTGATGAATTGCTCAAATTTCATGTCTTTCAGTAATAACGTTTAAGTTTTGTTAATCTTGTCCTGACACTGATAACATTTTCATTTATAGTTAGCATTTTCAGAAGTGCACTGATTTCATCATGTATACGTACGGTGCCAATACCAGTTTTGAAACATGTTCTGCTGCAAACTCTTTTTGGAGAGTAATTTTAAGGAAAATAATGAACATTTTTTTGCCATACTCCTGTCATTTCTGAAATCTCTGTCCTTGAATAAATCTTTTTCTTTTTTTTGAACTTCTCTCTCGTTACTCAGTGCTATCAGGGAGGTAGTTTTGCATCAGATTCTAAATGCATCTGTTCCTGCTGCTAGTTTATTTCCTTTATGGCAGTAAAGATGAAGCAGAAACTGTATTTAATGAATTTTCAGTTTTTGACAGTGTCATGAGAGGTAAAAAGTATTGCACCCATCTGTTAAAAGTGAAAAAAGCAGGATCTGGGTATTTATAAAATCATAGCAAAACTTCAATTCCTAGAAAAGGTGTTGGCATAAATAATCAAACAATTTGGTGAACCCTACAAGAGCACAAGGTGATGAGTAAGAGCGTACAGGGATCTGCTAAAATCACATGGTGTCAGACCAATCTTACTTGCTTTTACAACAGAGTAACAGGCATAGTGAATACTGGAGAGCAGTGGATGTCAAATATCTTGATGTTAGTAAGGCTTTTGACATTATTTCATGTGACATTTCATGTGACATAGGAAGCAGGGTCTTGTTTTCAGAAAGGATGGATGTAAAGTTCATATGAAAGTTCCATTCAGGCAGTGATTGTCAAAGAGAATGGCAGTTTCCACAACAATCTGCTGTACTTTTCAGTAATAGTTTTAAATCTCTGTGTTTTAAATAACAAGAAGATAAGAAGAGAGGCTGGCATGCTACAGAACACTGGTAAGGTAAGTGCTAGAGAATAGGCTGGAGTCTAAAATATTTTTGAAAAAGTGGAAATACAGTCTTAAAAAGCTTTGGAAGCTGTTCAAACAAAGACAAGCACAATATCATTTACAAATAATTATTCTAATAGGTCAGAATGCAAAAAAAGAAAATTACAAGAGAAATCACAAATTGCATCCAGAAAAAGCATTTTCGGATGAGGCAAGTGGAAAAAAATATGTACATGAAAGGACTGGTGATGTATGCAGTACTGACCACCTATGTTCACAAAAGATTTATTCATACTTTAGTAGATTCGACACAATAATGCTTCTAGGAACATAGTGGGGAACAGGATGACTGTGTTGAAGAAGAGTTATTTTCCTTCTTTTGCCTGCAAAACAAAGCATAAGAGAAGATATAACTGAGGTGATAAATCACTTTTCCACAACCTACATTGCATACTTAAACTCAGGAAAAAAAAGGGCTGTATTTTAGGTAAAAGACAATGCTGACACAAGAACATGATGAATTTAAACTGCCCATATATTAAATTAGGTTGTAAATTATAACAGTTCTAACCATCAGAGAAATCATATTCAGGGGGAGGGCAGGGAGGGAATTCAAACCTAATAAGCTGATTAAGCTCTTCTGTGAACTGCATGGGGGTCTCCTCACCCCAACAATCTTTTAAAAGTAGCAGGGATTACTTTTCAGTCTTCTCCCTGCTGAAGGGAGAGAGTGGAAGGGGAAAGAAGCATCCCCCCCCCTTCAAGTCTTTCTTCTCTCTCCTCCAACTGCCAGCGTCGACTTTGGACACTTCGTTACCTCTTCTCTGGAATTTCTCTGCAGCAGTTTCTTGTCCAAGCAAGCAGTCCTCTAAAGTTTTTTTTTCTTCACTCTCTTACAACAGAGAAGGGGAGCTTCAGTGACACACCTGCCCCCACCAGCCCAAGCCGGGGGAGGAGGGGGCCTGGCCCTTCTCAGGCCCGCTGCTCTTTTACATGGCTGCTGCCCCTAATTTCAACTGCGACACCAAACCTTCTCTTCCATTTTCTTAAAGATGTAATTAGCAAAGGCCTTACTGAACTTTTTGATTGGCTTCTTGTCCGGAACTTCACCTGGACAAAACCATTCTCAGCCCCAGAGATGGGCTGGTGGCAAAACCACGACACTCCTGTTACTGTTCTGTTTAATTAGTATACACTTTTTGTCAACCAGTTAATAGAAAATATATAGGAACTGATTATTTTCTCAGATATTCTGGGATAAATAAAGAATTATTCTACTATATACAGCTTGGAAAATAGGTCTGAAGAGAGTAAAATGCAAAATAGTATAACAGGACAGGGTGTTAATGAGAGGGACTGCACATTTTGAACACGTGGTCTATTTTCACAGACAGGTGGGTTTTTTAAAAAAAAACTACTTTGAAAAATGCTTTGATTCTCAGGATGTTTATGGTCTTAAGACTTCCCTAGTTGGAATCCATGCCTATTGAAGCAAATGATACATCTTCCATTCATTAAAGAGTACATTGAGAGTTTTTGCAAATCCCACTCAGAGCATACCATTCTCAGATGCTACTTTAAGGAGCTGTCTAGTCTGGCAGCCTGACAGAGGGAAGATGCTACAGCCCTGTGCTTCCAGGTCCAGCTCACCAAGAGGCACACACGTGCACATGCATCAAGGACATGAACATATGTATACATCCCTGTGAACAGACCAGATAGAAAACACAGCACTCAAGAAATCAAAACCAATGCAGATGGACTCATCCTGTTTCCCTTTCCAGCTAATCAGGATGAAAGCCTGTTACTGGAAAATGGGCATGTGCAACTTGGATCAACTGTCAGGCCACTCTGATATCCAGCTGCTGAACTTCTCCTACTCAGCACCTAAACCGTTTGATGTACACCAGTGATTACACACTGACACACACACCTGAACACAATGAACCCCTTCTGAGATCTCTCCAGTTGCTCCCACCAGAAACACACAGTCTCCCTAAGACCCCTTGTCCCACTCCTTCTGCTGCACTCAAATCCCCAGACACACATGTGCACACAGGACAGAGATCCTTGCACCTGTGAAAATAGTTAGAAATTGAGTGTAATGAGAGTCTTTGATACTTTCCTTGCCTTTGATTTCAGAAGGCTCTTCCTGACATCCCATAATACCTCCCATATTCCCAAAGTCTCTTATCACCTGTAACTGGTTGACAAAAGGATTGGGTTGGTGGCCAACCTGAGGCCAAAGGCTGAGGCTCCCCTGAAATCTTCCTGGAGAGGAGCTGCCTCATGGTCTCCCTTTGGTCTCATGAGGTTTTTGAAGTTCCCCCATCTGTCATTATTCCTCTGGGCTCCTTTGGGTTCATGAAGATGTGCCTTTAATACCATAAACTAACCATGACATGACGACCTCTAATCTCTAATATATATCCTTGAGTTTTCAGCACAAAGAATTTATTAGAGATTTGCCTACAACAAATATTTCCCTTTAGAAAATCAAATTTTAAAAGAAATTGAAAGTTAAGGAAGATAGTACTATGAGAGACTATAAAGTATTAGAAAGATAGTTTGAAAAATTGTATTACCTCAGAAGCTACAAGCAAAATTCATGTGAGTAATCAAAAAGAGAGACACGGAGTGTACTAAAATGTAGTATTTCTATGTAAGCAGATCCAAAATATTTAAGGTAGTAAAACTGTGTGAATAATGCAAACATTGTCTGGAGAAGACAAGCAAAGGAGATTTAGAAAAAAAAATGTAGAAGGAAAGTGATGGAAAAGGACAAAAATCCGCACAATGGGGGTATTTCAAACAAATCTATTAGAGCAAAGATTTAAAGAACACACAAGACAAGTTAAAATTATTACAGTGATTTATTCACATTGTACTAGAATCTGATAAGGAAATAAAAAAGATCTCTGATGTGGAAGGTAATAAGGTATATAGCCAAATATAGATACATCAAAGCTCACTGTTTGCTTAAGTTAAGTTACAACAGGATGACAAAAGTAAGGATAACACGGCAGAGCAGAAGGATTGCTAGAGCCAAACCAACAGTTATTGAGGAGTTACCATAACTGAGATTTCTTCCCAGGTAGGTACAGTAACATAGAAGCAGGTAATTGGAAGTAAAGTCCTGTGGGTTAGATTCACTGGTCTGGTGCCTGTAAGGAGTAAGTACATGGCACTAAATATGAGCAAACTTCATGTGATGACAATGGAAATTGTCAATGGCTGTCATCAGGCAATCCTCATGGGCCAATTGTGGGACTTTTTCAAGGAGAAGGGAGTTAAATCCCTTCTTCTTCAGTTTCTGTCCTGAAAGATCAGCGTCACTCAGCACAAGTGTACCCCAAGGTAGTACAGAGTGGTATGAGCCACTTGCTGTGCTGAGCCTGGGCTATAACAGGCCACAGGCAAAGACATCTCAGCCAAGAGATAGGGAAGCAGCAATGGGAAACTCAAGGAAACGCACCAATGGCAGCTTTTGGCAGGTGCTGGCATACCTGGCTGTGACCTATTAGCTGACTCAAACCAGACCTCCTACAAATCGTGCTTACCTGTGTGGGCTTCCTGGTGCTTGTCTTTGTCTCTTTCTTTGTACAATCCACACATTTCTCTCCAAGCTTTGTGTATATCACTAGGTGTGTTCATTCAAGGCCAAGATTAGTTTTTCTGCAGCTGACAATGAGGTGCTGGTATACTCAGTAACACAGACATTTATTTCATCTAATAAATTTGCAGGAAAGGGCATGAAAAATGAGAAGCTTTAGAAACCATCCCAGTATTGTTCCATTATCTTCACCGTGAAAGCAGACTAGTAAAAAGCTACAAAACAAATTGCCATAAAAAAAATACTGAGCAGAAAATGGAGGGGGAAAGGGAAGACAACAAGCTTATGGGATAAAATTTATCCAGTTATTCTAGCACTTTAAAAATTATTTACACAGTGATGAATATACTTTGGACTATATCAGGACTATATGTAACTATATTGGGGAGGAGTTATTTTGTAGGGTATAAAAAGACAGTAAGCCTCCCACAATATTATTCCCATAGGACAGATAGGACCTGCCTGCTTAACTTCAACTCATTGAAGGTCAACACAGGAAATAAATAATATGGAAGGAATTGCCTGGTTTTTTTCAGAAGACTGAATTGCTCCAGTCAGCTGTTCTATCACAACATAAATCCAATATTTTCACAGATGGACACATCTTATATATGATAACACAAACATTTAACTACTTTCTGTAGTAGCTTTAGAATTCCAGCTTTCTTCTCTTCTCTGTCTCTGAAAGTTAAAACTCTTCACCAGTAACAGAGGAAAGAAAACTGACATTTGATCAAAAGTAAATTCGGTCAAAGGTGCAAAACTGCTTAAATCAATAGAGAACTTCTCACGGACATTTCACATGTGATGATGAAATAGAAACAATGAACTTACCTGCACTTAATGCAGTGCAGACTGTTGAAGAAAACTGACCTAGAAACACCTTTAAACAAAATATAGAGATTTAGGTATAGCTGTAAGGATGTTTCAAGTGTTGAGTACACTGAAATAAATTTAAAAACAAAATTTGAAACTACATGAATTAAAATTACAGTAACATTAATTCTGAAATGGCCACACTAGAAAAATCATTAAACATTTCTGCCACTGGCACCAACACTGTAGCTCAAACTCCACTGGCATTCTTATCATTAATATTCTTTTCGGTGATGTTAATATTTCTGCAGCTTCAGACTTCATGAGACTGAAATTTAGCTTGTCAGTTTGGGAGATATAAATAGCTCTACTTAGCCATTTTTCATTTTGATTTAGTAATTGGCAAAACATTAAATTTTTGAGATTTCAAGCACTTTTATGGCATCTTAATTTTGAGAAGTAAAATTTGGTAGACAGACTGTAAAGCTCCAGTTGCTGTTCTTAGTTGTATTACTTTTCTAAATTGTGCAGCTGCACAAGAGGCTTTCAAAAGAGCTCTTGAACATGCAGTTGAAGCTGCTTAGCATAGCATTTGTCCATTGTATCTTTGGAGCATGCTTAAACCCTAATAGACTGTTTAATAGGAGTTTCATAACTCCTGGGGTTTTTGGTTTTTTTGACAGTCTAAAATGGTTATACAACACTAGAAAATTTTCATAGGTTCGTCTGAGGTAAATGTTGGAACTTTTGTTCCAGCTCTGCCCATAATAATTTGTTACATGGCAGCAATGTTTTTGCAGTATTCTGTGCAGTGACCTGATTAGTCCAGCATAGGCAGAAGATTGAGGGGAAATTGTAGTGGAAAGCAATAACTTCTATTAGTTTTTTAAGTGCACAAGAGACATTACTAGCCCTAGATATGGTGAGAACAAATAAAAGTACTTTTTGTCATCTTGTCAACTTGATTCAAGAGCAAACACAAAACAGTTCAAGTGTTTTCCATGATATATGAATTTTACACAACTCTGTGCTAGGGTTATATTTGAGAGGCTATTATGGATTGGTTGCTTTGTTGTGTAGCTTCTGATATGACACAAGATCGATTTTTATTTAGGAGTTTACAACTGATTTTATAGATTTCACCTACTAAGGAATGCAAACCTTTGTCAGATACCATGAGGCTCTCTTAAACATTGTCTAGCAATAAATTAAAATGAAGGGGAAATAAGGAAGAAGCTTTAGGCTTCATCAGTCTTGAAACACCTTTTAAATAAAGATGGTATGTGAAGAAGTTTTAAACAGTTGATTTTCTTTTCTGTGCAATTGAAAGTTACTAACATAAGGGTTAATAGTCAGGAGTTATTTTTGTGTCTGACAATAAATGGTTCTTAATTGATCTAAAAGACATTTGTATTCACTGGGGGAGAACTCAGACACCTTCTTTAGTATCCAAGGCCCTATCTGGTCTATGCAGCATATCCTTCTTGCTTAATACCCCATTCTTTAACGTGCCAGCAAGCTGGGATACCCTTCTAAGGCACAAGCTCTCCCTGTGCAGCATGTGTTCTTTTCTGCATAATGACACAGATTAAGTGGGAGTATTGAAAGAGCAGAAGTTTTGATAGACAATAAATTTTCTCAAAAAATGAGATAGAAATTTGAATACCTGCTTTTAGAGCAGATAATCTATGGAATTTGTTTTTATAATCATGCAAAGGTGACACTGCATTTTCTAACATTGGGATCTCTTCCGTTTTTCACAGGTTCTCAGACTTAGGAGTGTTAATGGACATTGGACCTCAAGAGGATAGAAGCACTCTACAGATAAACCCCAATTCTAAGTGTTTCCTCTGAGGAATCTCTAGGAAACTCCTCACAAATGAGCTGATGTTCTAAGACATGATTCAGAGACACCCAACTCTGCAAATGGACTAAATATGTACTTAACTTAATCAGTATTTCATTCTATGTGCCTACCTCAGAAGCCTTTTGGCCATGTTGCACAAGTATTTATGAAGCTCTGGGCATAATTAGATCATCTTAAAAGGATTAGGAGCTAAGCTTAGCATCATTTATAGATCACAGATCATAGAATGGCTTGGGTGGAAGGGACCTTAAAGGTCATCTAATTCCAACCCTCCTGCCATGGGTAGAGACACCTTTCGCTACACCAGGTTGTTCAGAGCTCCATTCAACCTGACCCTGAAGACTTCCAGAGATGGGACATCCACGGTTTCTCTAGGAAACCTGTTCCTCACCACCTTCACAGTAAATAGTTTTTTCCTTATATGTAATCTAAACTTACTCCCTTTCAGTTTGAAGCCATTCCACCTTATCCTATCTCTACATGCCCTTGTAAATAGTCTCTCCCCATCTTTCTTGTAGGCTCTTTTAGGTACTGGAAGGTCGTAATTAGGAGATACCAAAGCCTTCTCTTTTCCAGGCTGAACAATCCTAATTATTTTAGCATTTCCTCATAGGAGAGGTGCTCCATCCCTCTAATCATCTTGGTGGCCTCCTCTGGACTCAGTCTTAAAATTTGTAGCCTGAACTTTCCATAAATTAGTAATTATGAACTTTGACACTCTTGAGACTTCTTATTCTTGCTTATAAAGATACTTGTAATGTTGCTACTTCATTTTTGCAATTCCATCTCACCTGCTCAAGAACTTATGACTTTGGCTACCAGCTGTTGTCTAGATTCACATCTAACCTTCAACTATTTTATGCACTCTTTGGGTCAGCAAGAGATTTGTAACAAACATACACCAGAGCTTAATTCAATATATTCTAAAAAAATTTTCAGATATAGGGACTACACTCTATTTTGTTAGTATTATGCAAACCTACTGTCTATGAATATTCTTAGCTACTAAATCTATTAGAAAAATCTATAACTGACTATATTTTCCTCACTGAAATTTTTAAAATGTCTGTTGAAATGTTCAGGAATATTTAAGGATTTTGAGACACTCGGAGGCATTTATTTCTCTATTTTAGTTATGGTCACTAGACAAAGTAAGAAATGTGAAGTCAGATGATCTGAAAAAAAAAAATCTATTTTTCCTGTATTTCTAGAGATCTATGGAGGCACAAGTGAAAAAAAAAACCACAAAAAAACCCCAAACAAACAAACAAACAAACAAAAACCACACAAAAAGAAAATCAAGCCAAAACAACAACAACAAAACACAAAAGTAGTGATAATGAAATTTGGAAGAGTTCTCAGATTTGGAAAAATATCCAGAATATCCCCAAACGTTTTAAGTGTGCAGAGACCTATTGTGATGATTGTATAAGTCATTGAAGAAAACAGTTTTATCTATAAAGTAATGCACCACTAGTTTTGAAAGACCCTGAATATAAAAGTTCCATTGTAAGAGTAGATATCAAACATGCAAAGTTATAGGAGCTTCAATGTACATTTGAGTACTCTCCATCAATCTGACAATTTCCTTCCTCTAACACTATGAGATTTGAATAGTGCTGGTACTGCTGCAATGTTGCATCAGCTCTTATTTCACTATCAGGACTGCAATTTTCCGTGACTGTGCACTGGTTCAGTTAGATCCCCACTGCATATAATGACAGCCTCAACACAACTGAGAGGCATCATGAAAACTAACTGTAGGGACCAAATCCTTTGATAGTTGCACTACAATTTGCTGACTGTTGAGCAGGGCTAGTTTAGTACATAGCATTTGGAATTAGAGTTAGCTACTGAGGGAGTATTATACTTCATGAAATCGGAATGAAGAAGAAATCAGTCATATTTTAAAATAGAAAGTCACAAAGTTAGATTTTGCAAGGAATAAAATCCTGCAGAAAACAAAATCTTGTTTCCCTATCAAACTAAAATGAAGAAAATCCCACCATGTTTCAGCCACACTTCTGAGTCAGACAACTGGTAACACATCAAGAAGGGCTGTGGCCCATGGGTAAACCCCAAAGGAACTTCAGTCTCCGGAGGACCCTTACCAGAGCAGTGGAAAAAAGGTTGTGTGGGTTCTTGTCGGCCAGCCAGCAACAACCCCCCAAATTGCATTTATGAATGCTGGTATGCTTTCTTCTCTTACGTAATTTTCTAACTAATTATGTTCTTTATAGTTATAACAGTCAGTAGGAAGTACTCTTATTCTTTAAAAAAAATCCATGACTGCTATATCAAAGAGGTTAAAAACAAGTCTATTAAAGATACTCATACTTTCCCCAACCCAATTTTCTTCTTCACAGATAACTTATGTGTTCAGTTTGGAACTGTTTAAACTCCCTATTTAGTTCCACTACTGTCACTGGGCAAGTAAATCCCACCCCACAAAAAGCAAAAGACAAAAAAAAGATGAATTGAGGAATTAAATTAATTTGAGTCCTGTTACCAAAAAAAAAAAAAAAAAAAGTTACAATTTTAAACAAAATCATGTACACTGAAATTATGCAGCTGATTGCCAAATAAAGGCATCATGATAATGTAGAACTAGTGGGATGATTATGACTGCAAAAGTATTAGGTTGATGGATGTATGTTTCACTGAAGAATTTTTTTAAATGCTCAGAGCCAAAGAATATGTCCAAGTGTTTCTTGTCTATTTTTCTGTCCAATAAGAAATGCCTGGCTATAAATGTAATGAAAAACATTATAAAATGGGGGAAAACAAATGTAATATAAAATGTAACCTATGACTTCTGGTCATTTTAATTGCATGTCTTTTTAATTTCTTACTTAACTAAGACTCTTCATACAATTTAAAATAGCAGGGGAATGCTGTGGTGTTCTGGAGGTGTTTCTGTCTTTTTCTCTTTTTGCAATGTCAATCATTCTGCTCTTCATATCATATATATGTAACAATCTGAGTCAGAGAGATTCAATTTTTGGAGAAAGAGTTACTCTTTCAGTGTTATTCTTTTCTCTCAGTCAGAACAGCCCTCCTCTCTTCCTGTGAAGTTCAATATTTATTAGAAAACTGTGGGAATGAAAAAGACCAAACGTCCTGTAAAAATGTATCTATGCAGATGAAAGAACATCAGACTAATATTTCTGAACTTAAACTGGCAGCTTGTTGCTTAATGA